CCCCCTTCGAACCTATCAACCTGCCATGCCTGATGATTACCCTTCGGAAGATTGGATCTTGTCCGATGGCGCGTTCGATAACGCGTCAGGCTCTTTCAAGCGTGACAACCTACTAGACAACGAAGACAAAAATCAACAACATCTCCAAGCAATCACTGTCCCAGTTTCAGCCTAAGACGATGAGCGCAGGCGCCATTACCTCTGGTGGACGAAGCAGGTTAGCGCTGAACGCAGACGTCATCGCTGACACCCTCGCGGCGACGCGTGAAATGCCATCGTGAAGGGCCTGCCAAATTGAGGGCACGAGCTGGACTGGCACGGCGGAAGAAAATATAGAGAAATATGTCTCATCTATTGGCAAACCGGGTCATTGATCGTTGATTTCTTAGCAAACCGAGACAGCTGGAAACCGAACACAAGCGAATACAGGGTTCGGAAGAAAGGGAAGAGGCGGACAATGAGGAAGAAGTGGAGAGCATGGAGATGAAGACTCAGAAAAACATGACGACACCCCACGACATCGAGCAAAGACGGCCAGGATAGCAAGACGTCACGTACCATAAAATAACTACCTTCCAATTCTACCTGGCTCTACCTCTACTCTTTATACGTCACATATCTTTATTTTCTTTATCCTTTTTCATTCTTATATTTTATCCCCTCTTAAGACCTTCATCCATCATACCCCATACCATCCCATTATGAGCATACTTTACGCACCAACAACAGACAAGACCATCATACATAACATGGCTAAGACACTCGTAGATACTATAGTATATCAAGCTCGGATGTACCACATGAGGAGGGCGTACGTCCTCAACAGACAATGAATGACATGTAGATAATCTACCCATTGCGTTAATGAGGAGCTCCAGACCGACAGCTAGTAGGGCAATTCGAATATATGAACTCCCGAGCGGTTTATGCGAAACAAAAACGAAGCTGATTCATGAACATCCTTCGAACAAAGAATTCAGACACCCAAAACCAAAAACATAAACCATAGCACCATAAATAAAATTCGGAAGCTCTGGGGCATATATACATATAACGTATGTACGAGTACACAAGAAAATGCGCGCTAATTAGACAATGACAGCTGCAGGGCCATAGGTTAAACACGGCGGATCCACGTCCGCCATCCGCAAAAAGAAAGGAGAATATTCCATTCCGACGGGGAATTTGTATTGTAGCAACCAAGCCTCGTCCGCCACTCGAGTTCCGGAAATATGAAGAGTCAAAGTCAAAGTCAGGGATAAGGGCCGAATTTGAATGCGATATGCAATATGCGATGCGAATGTGAAAATTATGGATGCAACAGGATTGTTGAGAAAGGGATAGAAGAAAAGGAAGGAGAAAGGAAGGAAAGAGAAGAGAAAGAAGATGGTGAAGGACAGGGAGAGAAGATGAATTGACAAATAGAAAAGAATGAAACGAATGTGCGTATTCTCTTTTCATACTTTGTTCGGTTCGTTGGCATCGGTGGTGGTGGATGAGCGGGCAAGCAATAAGTGAGTAAGTGGAGGGAGGGGGTGAATCGGGGGCGGTCGCGAGCAGCGAAAACGGTGAGAGAAGAGAGTGAATGGTTCCAGTCAGTTTCCATGTGAGCCTAAAGATATATTGGAGTCGAATTTTGTTCATGCCCTCGCCTCGCAATCGATGGCTTCCTGCCGGCGAAGCGCACGCGCCTCTTGAGCCACAACGTACTCGCGATGGCGGCGGATTTCGTCCTTGATCTCGGGGAGGTCCTTCTTCAGATTCACGATTCCATTCTCGGGCCACCGCTCAAGTCCCCAGGCCTGCATAAATATGCTACACTGAAAACATAAAGAAAGGTACATGAGAAAGAAAGCCGGGGAAAAGGGAGAAAAGGGACGTACTCTGTAGTAACGCTTGGCGGAATATTTTTTGAACAGGGCCTCGTGCTGGACGGGGTTGGTGATGATGTATTCCAGCATGATGTTAGCGATTGGCAAGAGCTCCTTTTCTGAGTAGGTGGTGTAGTGCTCCAGGTTGGGTGTCTGCGGCGAACGAGTAAATTAATTTATAATTCAATCATAGTTGACGGCGCGAAATAAAGATAACATACCCATTCCTCGCGGCCAAGACTGAGCCTTGCAAGCCAAAGAGCAGCAGCAGCCATCAAAGACGGGACGACCCCGACGAAACGCCTCTCTACCAGCCCAATTTCCAGCAGATATTTCCCGATGGTGCGCGCATGGACTTCGCAATCGTCTGCCTTGCTCGCGCGGCGCAGCCAGCCCATAGGGCCTGGGGAGCGCAGATCCCAGTCAAGAGTTCTTAAAATATACCGTTCGGCTTTGAGAATCTCTTCGATAGTGTACTGGTCATCTGCAAGGAATTTGATCTCCTTAACGGACGGCGCGTACGTCTCCTCGAATTTCGTCGCGATGAAGAACGATGTGATGCCAACCAGCTGCAACTTTGAGATAGAGATGGGTCGGGAGCCGAGGAAGCGGTCGAGAATGTTCACAGACAGGAAGAGCGACTCCGCCAAGAGTCCGAAGCGCCCATGCACTTGAAGGAGCCAGTCGACCAGGACGCCCCTGTGTTGCCAAGTAATTTCGCTTTGGTCCTTCATGTAGTCCGGGTTGGGAAGAGTCTCCACCTAGACGATATGTCAGCATTGGAAATTGGTTTGCGATAGATGCACGTACCTCAATTTGTTTCAAGTATTTGCAGACATCAACGACATATTCGCTGACCATGATGGGATCGTCGAAATCCTCCGCATCCAAATCATCCCAAAGCTGGGCGTTCGCAGAAGAAGGCTCAACGGCCTGAAGTTCGTTAGCGATGCGATCCGCCTCAGCTTGAGAGATACGAGAGTCGTCCAGGAATTTGGCATGTACAATAAGCTTCTCGTCAGTATGGCGCCTCTTGAAGACGCGTTTTGCTTCTTCATCCTCTGCCGTTGGTTCTATTTCCATCTTCTCTTGAATGGGCTCGACAGTAGGCTTAACTAGTAGGGGTGCCTCCGTCTCTGTCTTTGACGCCGTCGTACTTTCGCTGGTGGCTCGAGTCACTACCCTCCTGGGTACGGCGCCGCCAGCCAGACGTCTGCTAGGAGGCTTTACCGCTGGCTTTGGCTTTTCAGAAGCAGCGACTGTGGTCGTCGTAGTGGCAGCGGCATTCTTCAACTTGTCGGTCGACGAGGACGACCCCTCTTTGCCCTTGGCGACCGTACCGGCCACCTTATTCTTGTTGTTGGTGAGGGGACCGGTAACCTCTACCAAAACTTCCCGCTTCCTCTTAATGCCCGTCTCCTTCTCGTCCTTTGTGACATTACTGGCTACAGCTTTGGCTTTCGAGGCGGCCGTCGAGGCGGTGGCGCGGGTAGTCGCGGAAGTTGCGGTGGCCCCCGCTCCCAGCACAGTCTTGGAGCGGGTAGTTACGATTCTCGATGGGCGGGCGTTGGCATTTTCGTTATCTTTTGTAGAACGGACTACTCTTGTCGTCCTCCTCACCTTGGGGGGAAGGACGGAGATGAGATATGGATTGAGCATCTCGACTGTTGTTATTATTGATCAATGATGGAAACTCACTGGGATAGAGGACATGTTCGTCCGTGGCGGTGCGAGGAATGGTGGGGAGCGAGAAGTTAGGCTATGTTGAAGGGTGTCGCGAGATTATGAAGAGGCGGATGGCGATGTGATGAAGAAACGGAATAAGACTCTTTAATATTAAGACTGGCTCGACCGATTTGTATGTTCAAATTGGGATGCAAATATAACAATCGCAAATAACTCAAACGCGTCAGTCACGTGGTCGTTAAAGCGCGTATTAATGAGAACGCGTATATGTTCTCCTCCTGAGTCCTGTTTGCTCGCAAATACCTAATTCCAGTCACTGTCCGACTTGTCGTCAAGTTAAAGCTAGAATCCTAGGTTTAGTGGAAAAAGTAGCAAAACATGTCTCTCTCTGTCTGGGAGTTGAACCCAGCTTTCACGCGGTCTTCCGTTGAAAGTGGAACTTCGCGTTGATGACAGGCGCGTGTACTAACCGATACACTAACAAAGATGATGACAACAAATACTTTATTATTCTACAACTACGGCAACTGCAGCGGAAATTGCGGCTTGTGATGGCTCTACAGATGTATGAAAAATCTGTCGGAAAAACAACATGATTGTATTGTTCACCGTTAGATGTCTTCTTTCCTTGATTCTATACTCTGTAGATCTGCCATTGTATTTCGAAGCCAAAGAATAAATATGAATTTCCGTCTCGCAAATAGATGAATAAAAGTAAGTGAATTCCTCAATCAACAGAATGTTCTGTCTAATTTTCACGGATTTTTCTTCCAAGTGCACCTCCACAAAATATTTAAACTTTTTTTTGGTTACTTATGCATGTACTATACTTCATCATAGCAGAATCGTATTCCAATTGCTTCCAAGCTCCAACTCTAAGAGTGCCTACCAGCCGGTCCAGCCAATGATGTCATTCCCATTGCCCAAGTGTTGAACCAACTTCGAGTTGTTCCTAACTTCCACATCCAATTCTCATTATTGATGACTGACTATATCCGACGGCTTGTATCAGGCAACAAAGCTCGGTTCAAAGATCATAACCTCAACGTCGAACTAGGTGAGTATAGACAGAAAGAACATGTGCTCGTATAATGACATGCTTTGTAGATTTGGTATATGTGACCGATCAGGTCATCATCATGGGGTATCCTGCTTCAGGCCTCGAAGGATTATACCGCAATCGTCGAGAAGACGCCATCAAGTTCTTAGAACATCGTCATGGGAAGAATTACTGGGTGTTCAATTTCTGCCCGATCAAGGAGAATTCATACGAAGCCGACGTTTTTGAAGGACGCGTTAGCAGATACCCCTTCCCGGATCACCAGTGCGTTCTATATGCATCGAAACTGGGCGTTCTACTAATTATCTACATACACAGTGCCCCACCTCTTGCCGTCATGCCCCTAGTCGCACGAGAAATGCAGGCCTGGCTGAGTGGATCCCCAGACCGCGTCGCAGTCCTACACTGTAAAGCAGGGAAAGGTCGCTCTGGAACTATGGCATGCGCATACCTCTTGTCTCTCGATGACGCCCCTATGTCTCCCCAACTAGAGCGCAGCCACGACGCCAAAGCCTGGGCGAAGAAGCGGATGGAAAGCACCATCAACACGCTGCCTGCAGAAGAGGAATCTGTCCCCGCTAACAAATCGTCACCCCCGTTCGTTGCAAGCCCACCCATGTCAGACATAGACGGCATCCTCGACATGGACACTGGTGCCTCTCCACCACGCTCTGCGACTCCCAACCGCGAAATGTCGTTCACCGACGCGCTGAAAGGCGTCCTGGACCTGCACACGGCGCAACGGATGAAGCAATCCTCAGAGGAGGGGAAGGTGAAGCAAGGCGTTAGCATCCCAAGCCAGCGACGTTTCCTGTACTACTGGGCGCTACTACTGGCACACGACGCGCCGAAGCATGTGTGGGCGCATACGGACGAACCTCGTCCGAAAGTTCGCCTGACGCAATTGAAGCTGCGCATGCGCGAGACTTCATCGGTGCGGATGGGCATCGTCAAGGCGGCGAATCTGGTGATGGAGCGGGCAGGTGGTAGCGCATCTGTAGAGAAAGGATCGAAAAGTGAGGTTTGGGCGTCCCTTACGCGATATGACGATAGACTGGTTAATGTTCTCGAGGAATGGGAAGCACACACGCGCGACCCTGATGGCCACATGGGGAAGCGACGTCATGGAGCAGAAAGCAGAACCAGAGGCGAGTCCATCCCAGATGAAAATCTGAACGAGATATATGAGGGCGGAAAGTGGGATAATGGCAAGATGGTGAGGAGTTTTGCGCGGATGGGAGTGGTCAATAATTCTCAGGAAAGAGTCGTCGACGAGAAGGTTTGTCTAATTTCTCTCCAAAAAGTTATTAAAAAGTTATTGACTTGAAATCTATAGGGAGAGAAATTTCACGTATATACTCTCACTCCCTTATCCGACAAGCGATGGGAAGGCCTAAAGCATGATCTTCACAAATCCACAGCCCATGGCCATCCTGAGCGGCAGGAGATGTTGGAAGCGATCGAGAACCAGGCTAACACGGTTGGCGTTTCGCACTCTGAAGCCAACTCCATGAACGACGTCACTGTGGCTTCAATGAAGCAGGAGAATGCTCATTCGGCGCTGGGCGCCAATATATCAGAAGGGATCATTGTTGACGCTGTGCGGGAGGTCAGAGTAAAGCTCTACGTCGGACAGGTCTGTATATTTTTTGAGTCGCTCAAGCATTCGCAAAAAACTATATTCATGGAACTGACTTCCATAAATGACAGGTGTTCATCGGCTGGATGTGGTTCGTACCCACCTTTCATATGCCCCAACCTCCTCCTACATCATCTACAAATACCACATCACCATCCGGCGCGCCAGCGCAGCCGCAGTCGCCCAGCAAAACGAAAGCAACATTCACATTAACGCGCAAAGACATCGATTTTCCTATCGGCCTCGGGAGCTCGATTATTGATCTTGATATCGACATGGAATGGGTCGCGCCTCCTCGCGCAGGCGCCGCCGACATACCTGTTGAACCTCTCGAGCCTCCGGTGCGCGCACATACAGGTGATTCAAAAGTGGGGCTGGAAGAAGAACCGTCGGGTACGAGTGCGGTGGGAGCGATGGTGCGCGCTGTGGCTGCGAGGGCGGAGGGCGGGGATGACGATGTTTTGGGTAGGGTAGGATGGAGAGAGGCTGTTGAGGCGCGGCAGGGCGGGGAGGACTAGGTTGATGTTTCGGTCTAGATGTAATCTTAGCAGTTCAAAGGCAGCACCAAAGCTTTATGCTGTGTGCACAGAAAATCGATGGTATGTATCAGCAATGGAAAAAGAAAACAGCATATTCCCGAACCTATATTGAAATGGGAGCATACAAGTTCATTGTCTTTGTTAGTGTATCGGTTAGTATACGCGCCTGTCATTTATTTGAAATTGTACGCGCGAAATCTGGGTTCGACTCCCAGACAGAGAGTTACATGGACAGAGCAAAAACGGTCTTTAATTTTTGGAAGCTAGCCCTCTTGGTAAGGGCTAAATTCTAATAAATTGCTGTTATTAATTACTGCGTCCGCAATGCTCTTTGAAGGTTGTCCAGCGCAGCATTATGAGATTAAAGAAATCCATATGGTTGAGTGTTCTATCATCTACATGCCGCAGTACTTACACATACTTTGAATATAAACGTTCGGCCATTGTACTATAGTCTGAATACTTCACATGTCGAATTCCGCAGCAGATCCCAACGAAATAAAGATTTTGACCCGGATTGGACGATATCGCTCGGCGCCATGTTCGCCTTTGCAGATGTCGGCTTACGTCTTCGCGAATTCAGACCGTCATCAGACTCGGAGCATCTCCTTACTCTCGAAAATGAATTCAACAGCATCGCAGCCTGGTCAAGCCCAGTACCAAAGGGAGCCGCATGGAAAGACCAAAAAGTGAAGGCGGTGGAGACGCAGACGGAGATGTGTTGCGTTATCGAGACTATTTCTCCGCCCGACGGCTCACCGAGCACGTCACCAAGCTTTGTCGGTATCGTCGCCTTGTGGATCAACGCCGAACGCGCACATCGTCACGCAAAATATACGATCAGCCTTGGGCCACAGTTCCAGAACAAGGGCTATGGCACGAAGATAACAAAGTTCATGGTGGAATACGGCTTCCAGTATCTCAATCTGCACCGCATTTCCGCTGTGATTCCAGATGGTAATGACGCTGCGGTCGCCGTTTGCAAGCAAAGGTGAGCCTTATCATGGCCGGAAATTTGTATGCGCCGATGTAATATTCTCATTGAATTTGATATATGTAGCGGATTCACCGACGAGGGAAGAGAACGCAAGGCGAGATGGCAGAATGGCGAATGGAGGGATAACATCTTACTGGGTGTATTGGTCGATGATTGGAGGAGACCAAAAGAGTGAATGACGGTTTGTGTATCTTTTTCGATCACGGCTAAAACGCTTCTCCGGCGCGGCATTTTTGTCTTGCTTATGGGTTCAAACGTTCACGCGTACATGAGTCCATGGTTCATTTTCTGTGCTTGACCGGTTTTGACAGCAGAAATGTTGTCTGTCTCCACAAATATTTTCTTCTTTAGAGTGAAATCACACTTCAAATCTCCTTGAGGAGGACGTGAGGCCGACGTGAGCGTTCGTTTAACCCCGAATGGGTGCTCTTATATGTCTGATAGGTAGGCAGTGGCCCCTTGGAGTATCTGACAGGATGAATTGAAGCAGCAAAATCGCTCGCAAAGTCATATTGAAAATCATTGGGGTGATCCTTCCGTGATGGAGGCCTGAACTTAGAAATTTCAAATGATACGTAAACGTTTTTGGACAAATTGAACCTGCGTAGATATCATTTGGCGCTTTCAGAAGGAATGTCGTTGAGTATTGAAGTGAAATCTTAGTTCTGCGCCACCTATTTTCAAACATACACAACACTTGAGGCTGGATTGTTTGAAGTTGGGGGACCGCTGTCCATATTCGGATGAAGGAATTCGCTTCCCCCGGTCTATCAGTTGCATAATAACTCTTGACAAACTGACTCAATCAAGTGACGCATTGTGCCGGATTCTGCCAGCCATATTGGGTATGGTCTCTCTCGAACTTCCCCATTTAATCTCAGGGTTATTTGAATTTGCCGACTTTTCTGGAAGCACGAAAAGCTATAAGAGAGGTGCATCCGTCGACGAGAGTCCTCACTCATCCTTTGAGCTCATTTCCTCTTAACGACTCCAATCATGAAATTCACTCCCAGCTTCATTGCTCTTCTCGCTGCCGCTCAGTCCGTTGTGGCCTTCCCTTTCAACGTTGCTGAGGCTGAGGATGTACGTTTTCCGCTCTCAAAAAATGTCTCGAGATGTCGTTCGGCTGACTCGTCTTTCTTTTTGCAGTCGTTGGCACCTGTCCCCGTCACCAGGCTTGTTTGCGACGGTGACTCGTATAAGTGCACTGCTAACTTGGTACGTTTTCTGTGAAAGATTTAGTCTGTTTCTCCATTAACATCAATTCCAATTGTAGGACTATGGCGATGGACGATGGGTCGCTCAGTGGAGCACTGCCGTGTTCCACACTGGTCTCTTCGGAGCTCCTGACCACAAGGAGGTGATGGTACGGCAACTCGTTATTATTTAAACGATAACTTACTATTGCATCTTTAGGCTGCTATGGCTGTTGCTCCCGTCCCGGTCACGAAGCTGGTCTGCGATGGCGACACTTACCAGTGCACTGCTAACTTGGTACGGATCCACTTCCATGCGTGTTACTTTGTATATTTGGATTGACCTTTTGCCGTAGAAATTCGGTGATGGTCGCTGGGTTGCTCGCTGGAGCACCAATGTCTTCCACCAAGGCTTCACGTCTGGCGTATGTGTTTGATTTCTCTGGGTTGGTAAAAGCATTCTGACTCAATTTTTAGGAGGAGGAATCCTTTGCTCCTGTTCCTGTTACCAGGCTTGTCTGCGATGGTGACAGCTACAAGTGCACTGCCAACTTGGTAAGTTTATTGCTATGCATCTGTTCATTTGGGTTCCTGACTGATCTTTCGTGCAGAACTTCGGTGATGGTCGCTGGGTTGCCCAGTGGAACACTAACGTCTTCCACTCTAACAACTTCCTTGACCAGAACTGAATCTTTTTAGCAGCATTATGTAGTTAGCACACGATTCTCCTGTTCACACACTCATGATAATACGAACAAAATGACTTGGATGTATCTGAAATTTGTTTTGAGTTTGTATATCCCCTGGTTTGAGTGGTGGTCTCAAGCATCTGTAGACTGCTTTTATTTTTTTCTCTTATTTAATGAAACCTCGCTCACTTCGAGTTTATCCCCAAGGTCATTTATGACGTCGTTGCGCTCTAAATTTGGCAACTAATTTGACTAATCAGGACTAGTGTATCTGTAGACGGCATCACGTATGTGCATATTACAGTAAAGTGGTACATACACAGAATCAATGCTGTTTTCGCCTGGTCATAAGACTTTTGTAGCTTTTTTGACAACTTTAAAGACATTGGAACCCTATTGGATGCCTGTGAGAGAAAGTCCGCTCCGTCACCGCCGATGACAATACTGCGCCATTTCTCCTCGCTTCCCTGGTCGGTTCCAACGTTTGCAACGTTCTCCATCCAATATCCGCAAAAAAGTTCACAAAGCGCACCATTTCTGACACCGTGCTCCAGGAATCTTCTCGAACGTCGGCCAGCTGATTCGAAGTCTTGGCCCTTTTACGCATCTTTCCGAGTCATTCCAAGAGAAGTGATCCAGATGGCCCTGAACGATGGTTTCAAATACAACTGCTTACAGTAGCAAGCTCGAGTCCTCTCAAGTTCCGCACTTGATGCATGGTTTGTCTGGTCGACTTCAGTGCCTTTGTCTGTTTGGCATGACGGCGCTCACCGCATGTACTGAAGCACCGTATGTCTGCTGTCCGAGATTTTGCAAGTCCGAACTGCAGCCCCCGCGGCGCGTTATCTTCCACTTCTTGATAGGATATGCATTGCGATCGGATGAGGTGGTGGGATATTGATCTACTGCTCGGTTTACTAGGCAAGCTAATATGCCGTATAGAGGGCGGGATCGATCACGCAAGTTGAGGGTAGAATCATTTCCGATTACAAGGGACTTATCAATGACTCGGTTATAGAATCGCACAATACACCGAGCAAACGTGTATTCTATGTAACAAGAGAACTCCATTTTGCGAATAGAAGGAGGACCAAGTGCCAAAAGAGCTGACGTAGGACGATACTATTCTGCGGCGTTGAAATCGAGAGTCGCAAGTCCACGAGATCATAAGAGTTTAGAGTAGCTACAAAAATGTGACTAAAATCCAATCAAACACCTTCATCGGACCCAGAAGGCATTCCTCTAAGCAGAAGGACTTCGGATCTCGAGGTATTACTTACCCCAGAATGCGGGGAAGCTGACGTCAAGTTAATTTCGCTGTTCGGGTGGAGCAATGCCCGCCTTTTAATCTGATGGAGTCAAGTGGCAATGTCAGAGTAAAATGAAAACTTCACTCAACTTCGGGAATTGAGAGGCAGGGCGCTTTCTTTTGGGGATCCGACGAGGCGTTGTACATGCTTTCTGATGGTACCGACCTGCCAACGTTCGCTTTGCTAGGTCAAGTTTGATTAGGGCTTGATTTTAGTCTTGTAAGCTCATTCGGCCCATCGTAATGGAGAGATTTCCCGGTCAAAAATGCTATAAAACAGGCGCTGGGTTGACCCTCGAAAGTCACTCATCCCTCGATCGAGTTCTCAATTTGAATCCTCATTCAAGTTTCTCTACCCCTGCTCAATATGAACTTCACTGCCAGCTTCCTTGCTCTCCTCGCTGTCGCCCAGAGCGCCATCGCTTTCCCCTTCGCCTCTGAGGATGCCAACGTCAGTACCCCATCTCGACGCTGTGTGGAATGACGCCGATGCTGATTTTTTCGATTGGACTTTTGTAGGTTATGGCGCCCGTCCCCGTTACCAAGCTCGTTTGCGACGGCAACACCTACAAGTGCACCGCCAACCTCGTATGCGCTTTCCAATTTTTCAATGATGATGACTGTGCGCTGAACGGTTGGCGATTGACAGGACTTTGGTGACGGCCGCTGGGTCGCGCAGTGGGGCACTGCTGTGTTCCACACCGGTCTTTTTGGCGCCCCCGACCACAAGGACGTCATCGAGGCCATGGCCATGGCTCCCGTCCCCGTCACCAAGCTGGTCTGCGATGGCGACAGCTACAAGTGCACTGCCAACCTCGTAAGTTTGCATTTTTTTCGCGTCGAAATTCAACTCGGAAAGCTTACTTGAATATTTGTAGGACTTTGGCGACGGTCGCTGGGTCGCCCAGTGGAGCACCAACGTCTTCCACCAAGGCTTCGCCTCTGGCGTATGTATCTCCTTTCGTTTGAACGAGTTACTTGGTGTTAACTGCTGTGTTCGACTTCAGAACGGCCAGTCTCTTGCACCTGTCC